TAGGACGCAGATAGTCCAGAGGAAAGCTAGTAGTTCGTAGACAGACTATGTGTGAACCAGTCTCAAGTTATGCTTTCAGACTCATGGTTTGCATAGGACTGTGGGATAGCCAGCGCAGATCTGCAAGATGACCCTTTGAGTCTGAAGGGGTAGACGTTGAGGATTCTGATCAAGCTGAAGCCTATCTCTCAACAGCACGTGGAGGAACTGTTTGATTCCTGCTTTCTACTTTCATGAAGTACTACTTATTCACGGAAGCATTTTTGTGTCAGTGGTTTGTGCTTGAATCTTTGTTGAGGGTATCTTGAAATGCCCAACTTCATCTGAAATAGACAACTCTTTGTAGGTTATTACCAGGAATAGAATATGTATGGAGAAGAAAAGTCTTTGAAATGTGCTGCGCTTATGAAGCGCACAGCCAAGGGTAGGTCTACTTCTGATGGCCAGAGGAGTTGTTAGGAAGAGGGCAACAGTACTGGAACTGCCCTAGCTCCCAAAGCAAGGTCATAGCTGTGTTTGGGGAGGGTGAGCTTTCTGGTAAATCAGCCCCTGCTGCACGAGTACCACTAACGCACCAAAATTTCCCATCCCAGAGCTCTGCCCCAGTGCTTTCCAATCCAGGCTGTATTATTGCTCCCTTAGACTTCTCATACCTGTTCAGTTACAATAGGAGGACATACTCCTCCTTATGCCAAATTTCCTGTCACCTGAGCCCTCGACCCTGTGTTATATTTGCATTTAACTCAGAGTTTCCACCATTTATCAAATTCCCTCATGTGCCAAATTTTGGCCCTCGTGCCCGCTATTGCCACCACTTTCTTAGTATTGGTTTGCCAGGCCTCTCCCTCAATTAGCTTCCCTCATAGATGCGTAGTACGTGGCTCCTGCAGGTAGGATTTTGAACGGGCAGATATATTTTTGCAGTGCAAAAAAGGCTGAGCCTGGGATTCTGAAGGGAGAAAATAGGGCATCTGGTTGTAACTATATGGTAGCCCTGTCTTCGTGCTGGGAAGGCCTTAATGATCTTGACATTATATTGGAAAAAGTCAGCAGCAGTCGGCCCTGAAGCGTTTTTTATGCTGTTTGTGTGGAACGAAATGGTATAGCCCTAATACGCCCTATCTGGCTAGAACTCTCCTCGTTGGAGTATATGGGACAGCAGTACCAACAGTGGGATGTTGTGAATGGATAACACATCTTAAAGAGCTGCTACTTCTCAGAGTAATATTTTCTTTTCTTTGTTCTATTTATTATTATTCACAGAAAAAATAAGAATTGTAATGATAATATAGACTACGAATAAAATACACTGCAGTCTATAAGCTAATATGGTTACCTTAGGCAACTTTGTATATACTGTTGCAGATTTTCAAGTAAAACTAAATATATGCATTGACCCACCAATATACTTTTTTGATGATTGCGTTTTGTAATTTTAAGGAGTAATTATTTGATTGTGAATTCAAATATTATAATTGCACTGAGATACTACTGCCACTATTTCATAAGCTGATACTGACTTCAACGAAATACAGACGAGAATGGCGTGGTGATGTCCGGCTGATAGCATGGTTAGGTGCTGAGTACTGTTAATGGTATGTTTTGAGCATAGAACTATGCAAATGTGGAATTAGAAAAGAAATAGGGGACTGTAATTTTAAAAGAGGGCATTGGCAAAGGGAAACATTTAAGTGTTTATAACCATAACTGCATACAGCTGAAAAGTCTTCAAAGGCAAATGTTTATCTTGTTATTCTAAAAGGGTAATTAGTTGAGAGCATTAGGAGAGAATATCATATCAATTTAGACATGTTGAACTATATGGAATAAAGTTAATTTTAGGTACTTAAAGATGCAGCCTTATTTTGCCATAAAGAAGAACAAAAAGAAAGAATAAATATAATTCAGACTTTCTCATGGGTGAGGAGCACATCTTCATGATCAATTGAGCAGTTTAGAGATCAATTGAGCCCAGCTGCTATGGGTAGATTGGGGATTGACACATCCTGCTCTGTCTCTTCCCTCTGCTTACATCCTGCTCTGTCTCTTCCCTCTCCTCTTGATGTCCATAGGCTTTTTTGATACTGCGACTGGTGGTTACTGAGGGGGAGGTAACGTTCTTGCTGTAGATTGGCATATCTAGAGCCACAACAGTGTCTCTTACTGCACTCTTCTCACCTCTCCAGGCTCTTCAATGTGAGCCCAATCCCTGAGAAGTGTGAGTTGTGCTGATAAGAAAGACCGTGACGTGAGTGAGTTTATACTGGTTGTGAGATGTGGATTTTTTTAATTGCTCGGACTATTCAAGGGAGAAACCAGTATTTCTAGAGAGTAAATTATGATCATATGGAGATGCTCATTTCAAGACCATTAAGTGCTTATATGGAAAACTGACCAGCTTTGCACGTTAGTAAATTTTGAACTTCAGAACTCAATAGGAGTCTTGAAAAACGAGGAAACAAACAATGCCATCTTTTCTTTAAGAAGAATGCAGAGGAGAATTGCAAGCAACTTTCCATTCCCTAAACATTTTGCTAAAATCTGCATTGAATTGTGAATTTACTTGTGAATGTAGAAGGGGGAAAAAAAAAAAAGGAAATATTTTTCAGCTGGGGTAGTGAAATATGAATAAATAGTAGTAAGCTTGTAATTCTGTGTCCATATCAATCTATTTAAGGAAGCAGTCCTTACAGTATGTTTACAAATTTTGGATGTACACCAGTAATAGTAAGTTAAGTAACATAGACAGCTGTGAGGTCTCTTGGAGAGATCAGTCCTGAGGTTCTCTGGGTGTTCATTACTTCTAAATGAAGCCATCCTGAAGACTCAAATTTATAATGACCTTGCGTTTCTATTCTGCAAAGAAAACGACATGACCGCAAGAGAGTAATCGCACTGTATATCTTTTTTTCTTTACGTCCCTTAATAGAAATGCAGCTGGTAGATTTTTTTTTTTCCTTTGTCTGCCTTACAAAAATTATTTGCTGTTCTTTTTAAAAACACTTTGTTGCTTTAAGATAATCCTCTCTCACGTATACTGACATACCTTGAATCCTTTTTACAGGTTCTCTTTCAACTAGTTCTCACTAATTGTTTCACATACATTTCTTTTCATTTAGAAAACACTTAAATATTTTCTGAATTTGCTTTATGCTTCTAGAAAAAGGTTTGATCAATATGCTGGCTTTTTCATCTCCAGAGACCTGCATTCTGAATGAATTTGATTTATCGTGACTGAAAACGAGTTTGACAAGCTTATCCTGAGTTCCATATGTCAATGCTGCAGAACCATCGTGAAACAATGAAAGTCGTCCAGACTGAGTCCGGCACATTAATGGGCAAAATATATGGAAGCGAGCCACTTGCCTGCCCATGCTGTGACTGACTTTCTCCAATCTTTACTAATCTTTCCTTCCTTTGGGTATTTCTGTCAATCCCAATGATATTTTTGTATACAGTATCTAATTACAAAAGGATTTTGAAGATGATACACAGTTTGACACCACCACTTACTGTTTTATATACTTGACTGCTTCGACTTTGCCATTTTGCTGAGTTGCACCAATAGACATTGTTACAGAACAATTTAAGGTTATGTGTATATGTTATGAGAACTGAGAAGACTCAAAATCATAGTAGCATGTGTTCATTGTGTGGAATGAATGCCAAAACAATGATTTATTTTTTTCTAAGTTTGTGTTTTGTTTTGTTAAAAAAAAAAAAAAAAAGTCTAGAGATGGTGAGAAATTAATTTTAAAATGACAAGTTTATATATAAAAAAAAACTTGCAGCTCTCTGAATTAAAAATACATATTTATTATATATATACATAAAAATATAAACATCTTATTAAAAAGAGATACCGTAATTAAACTGTTAGACTTGAGCAGAATGATTTCTGCGTTCCTACTTTTTTCTGGATATTTTTAGCTGGAGGGAAATGTAGTCTATATGTAGTGCCTTATTATTAGGGCAAATGGGATATGGAATGAAAGGAAAATACAGTGTTTGATAACTTCGTGCAAATATGGAGCTACTGAAGCTTATGATGGGTTTTGAATGTCCCTTTTAATCACAGCACACGCTCTTTCAGTTGTCTGTCACCAGTCTGTTCTCCTTATGGGGTTCCTGCACTCCAGCACTTAGGAACTTCTAAGCTAGAGGAGATGGCAGCTGTACCTTTGCTTAGCAATAGCAGCACAGTGATGCTGCCGTTTGACAGCACAGTATTCTTATGCACTGATAGCTGGTCACTTGTCTGCAGTGTTTTTGTCTTTGTTTTCTTAGGAATGGCACCCTAATGCTCCTCTGGTGTTTGGGGTTTGTGTTGTAGTAGAAGTGACTTTTTGCACACTACTTGCAGAAATCAAACTAACTTTTATTCAGAAGTACCAACACTCCTTTGAATCCTCTTGCCTCCTGTCTTTCTGAATCTTGCTAGTGTCCGTACTGACTAAGAGAATAACCAGCACAAACTGTGTCTAGTGCTCCCTTTGTTTCGGAAGCCATTAGAAAATATCGCAGAAATTCTCTATTATTTCTCTTCTTGCAGTGCTGTTACTTTCATGTTACTCTACATACATCTATTTATCCTAATCTGTTTTAACTCTTAAGCTTGCTGCTCTGAATGTGTTTACGCTTGTCTTTTTCTCTTGCTGCTCCCCTGTCTCTTATGGCATCTGATAAATGGAATAGGCATGCACCCTGCTGTTCTTGCATGTCGTTGAATGACATCCATCACAAAAGAGCCTGTGAAGTTATTTTGTTGGAGAGTTTCTTGCACAATAAACGCAAATTACTAGGGCCCATCCGTCTTTAATGCGTATCTTTCCTTTTGCACTAGCAAGAGTAGAACGCTGTGATTGCATTTGCCCAGGTAGTTCTTGCTGTATCGTAATGAGGCTGGTTACCCTGCTGGAGTTCAGCAGCAGCTTTTGGAGATGCGGAAAGCTTATGTGGATGTAAAGTGATATCTTAAAAGATTCTTTTCGTTTTTCTAGGCTACTCACGCAGAATGTTGGTCTTCTTTATGTTGGAAACTTTGACAGACCTTTTGCACAAATTAAGGTACGATTAACAAGCTGAGGGGGGAGGGGCTACTTAATTGGTTTCACTTGTTTGTTTTAAGTCGTGGTTTAGAAGAGCTTCAAGCGTATCAATACAACTTCAGGAAAAATAGTGGGCAATATTGTCGTTTTTGTGGTGTTTACCATATTGTGGGTGTGTTTCTAGTTACATCTATGTACTTAGCTTGTCAAAGCGTAGGTGTAGTGTTTCCTATCGTCATCTTTTGATTAATTTTGAATTTGATTTAATTACCAGAAGCAAAATGTTCTCTATTGTTTTTTTCTTTTCTTTTCTTTTCTTTTTTTCCTTTTAGATTACTTTGTCAGTGACATTTCAAAACAAAGCCACTTTTGGAACTCTGTAATTTTTCAAGAGATCCTTGACAGGGAAGACATTACAGTAAAAGCACAGCCAGCTTGTATTCCCAGTATTATTAGATTTATTATGAAAGACTTATGCAGTTGCTGAAAAAAATCGTCTTTTGTGACTTATTGTTTCCTTTTTTTTTTTTTTTTGGAAGATGAACTGTAATACTTTTACATTTCTAATTGCCAGTTGCTAATTAGTTATTGTCATATCCCTTGCAAACAAAACTTGTTTTACAATAATATATGGACTGATTTTCAGGAGTTTCATTGGGATTTTTCTTAGGGCAAAGAGAGAGCGCCATTAGTATGTCAGTCATGATGCTGGGATGTGGAAATGTGGTATTTATTTTGGAATGCAGAAATGTGTGCCTGTCCCAGTTGATACCTGTAATCACTGAAGCGTATTCTGCACTGCTGGCGGCGTTGTTCCCTGCACTGTGTGCACACGCTTGCGCCTCTCTGAATTTTAAAGGCCTTGTTTTAGTTTTACATCAAAATGAAACTTAATTTCTAAAACTCAGATGTGTTCCTTTTCCATCCCTAGTTACGTTACTAAAGAACAGCATTCCCAACTGTACCTGGCAAATACTTGCTTTTTCTAACTTAAAACCTGAGCACTTTATTAAGATTGCTTTAAAAAAGAGACGCAGGCTTTTCATCTCCCCTGTTCCTTCCCTCCTGCTTCCTCTCTCGACTCCCCCACCCAGGTCCTACATGTATATTGTTTGGTTTGGTTAATAAGCAATTTAAATGTTTCCTGCATAAAATCTTGTGCTGTAAGAAGTTTCATCACAAGTAAACTTGTATAACTTTAGTTATAACCCTTCAGAATGATGTTTGTATATAAATATATAAAGAATACAAAAAGTTTCCAGGGGACTTCTAACTCACTTGATCAGCAAGACAACTTGTAATTGCCTTATCACCTCCAGGATAAAAGATATCAGGAATCTGCTTTAATAAACTGCAGCTCTGCAGACCATGCTTCTGGATGATTTGGCAATAACTTACCTAGTGAAGATTATACCTCCTTTGAAATGTATGTCATTTTCGTAATCTCCATCGAGGGCTGCCATCAGTCTCCATCCCTTTACTGTCGTCCCAGTACCGTTTGCTAAGATGCCGTTATCCGTGAACACCTAAGGAGTGGAGTGCCTGGGCTGAGTGATTATTTCTTTTTTTGCTGAGCGTTAGGAGCTGGTCCCACTCACAGCCATCTTCCAGGGAGTTGTTTCCCCCAAATTGCATTCTGATTGACCGGCGAACTAAAACCTGTGTTGAATGACTAATTGTAGGTGTCATCCAAGTTTTGACAGCAGGAATCTTTCAGGTATTGTACATGCGTATTTTCTAGGCAGAGCAGAGGAGACAGAGCCCGTGCTACCCAGGCCTCTCAGGCAGCAAAGGAAAAATCTCATCCTTCCCACAGAAAAAGGACTGGCATGATATAGCCGGACTTCTCCTACTGCTCTCCCTTTCTAAATTGGGCCCCACCAGCTATCTCATCCTCTTCTAATCCTAAGAAGCAAAGTGGGGGGGGGGGTTTCCCCACAATTCTGAAGAGCTTATAAATTCACTGAGTGGACTGGAAAGCTAACAGGCTTATGCTGCACTCTTTTTCAGGTATTTATAATCAACCGTGGTGCTCTGCCCGTCACTTGCAGCCAAGCAGAAGCCTTTCTGCTCGCAGACTGGCTATGGAGCTGTTGGCGCGCAGGGTCAAACTGCAGGATTGAGTATCGCGTCCTGTAGCGGTGTTAGGATTAGAGAAGGAGTATAAGAACAGGATAAATGCAAAGTATGCCGCCCGTCCTCTTTCCACCAAGTTGCAGTATAGGGACTTCGCAGCTGGAAGTTGTGTCTGCACGGTTGTACTTAATAGACTTAGTTGGACCTTCCTCCTTCAATTTGTCTAAGCATTTTCCACTATATTTTCTATATACAAAGCCATACTATCACTGTGAGTTATGCAGTGTATACAAAGTATTGTTTTATTTCTTTTAAACCTATTGGTTCAACTTAGGCCTTATGTTATGAGAAATGGTGGGCAGTCGTCCTCTGCTCTTGATTTTATCCTTTCGCATTACCCCAGTGTTACACCTTCTAAGCTGAAAAAATTTAATCTATTTAATGCTCCCTGTATCCAAGCTGTTCAGTACCTCTGAACAACACCATTGTTATTCTTTGTACCTTTCTGTATTTCTGCTGTTGCCTTTTTTAAGGTAGGGAAATGCACACAGTATTCAATATATGGGCACAGCAATGTTTTCTGCTTTGTTTCCCACTCGTACCTTATTTATGGTATGATGCTTGATAAATGTTTGGAATGCATTTAATTTAAGTAGATTAATATTTGACTTCTAGTACCACTGCATTTTCATGCTAAATGTTGTATTTACCACAGAAAAGACACTTTGGATATACAAAATAGCTTTCACTTACTACCTAGAGAAAACAAAGCCTTATTTATCCACTGAATTTTGTGTAGATTACATAAACATTTTTGATGGGGCTAATTCTACCTGACTTTACTATCTAAAGCCTAGCATTTATTTTTGGAACTACAGAAGGATAGTTCCTCATCAGTAAGGTGTAAATTTGCACACTGTTGCTTAGCTTAGTTTTTGATGCTAAAGGTAATCCTGAAATGGTAAGCTAATTTGTCTCAGAAACATTTTTTTTATGGCTTGTATTATTAGTTACAACTGGGAAGTGGCATACAATTACCAAAGAGATAAACCTTTTTTATTGAGGCTCCTCCTCGGCTGTTTGGAGATTCCAGCGACTTCAGCTGCTTGACAGGAGGAGTTGGTACATAGCGATGGTCTTCCAACTTTTTTGATATCTTCAGCAAAAAATAGGGTTGGTGCCACCATAAGAGTTGGTGCTGCTAGAATAAATTTACGTATTTTGGAGATATGCAGTGCTCCTTAGGAACTGTTGACACAAGTTTCTTTAATTCTTACTTCAGTAGTTTTTCGGATCTTTAAGATGTGGTTGCTAATAATTCTATCAGTTAAAAGACCTGTGAGCCAAACTTTGTCCTGGAATATACTTAAAACTGATTCTCTGTAACCTTTTAGTTTAGCTTAGCTTTTGCTCACTGTGTGATATGTTGGTGTCTCTTGTAATATAAATTACCCCCTCATGTTCATTTGCAAACATCCTGAGTATTGAGGTATTCTGTTAAGGTTAGGCATTTCGTGCCAAAATTGTGCATTAAGGAGTGTACAAAACCACTACCGCTCCTCTGTGAATGTAGATTTATTGTTCAAAGTGAACCATTATTATATACCAGTACTTCAAATGCGTTTTAGTGTACTTTCAGTAGGACAAATAGGAATGTTACCAGCTCTTTGCAATATTCATACTAGACATAAACTGCCATGTTAGTACTCATAAATTCCTATTTTAGTTTATGTACATATATGTAACTGCAGAGAAAGAGAGAGAGAGAGGCTCCTTATTAAAGTACCCCTGCCCAAAGGCAAACAAATTTGATTTTCCAGAACTATACAAGAAGATAATTGCACAGTGTCTTTGATGAAGTTTGTAGAAGTCTGGGAAAAAATTTTTGAAATACTAACGTCTTTTCTAAGACCATTATTCTCTGTCTTTTTTCTCATATGCAATAATTCATTAATATTTATATAAATTAATATTTATAATGTTTCTGAGACATAGATGAAGTGGTTATATTAACTGAAATTACCTTATCGCCTTCCTCCTGGCTTACTTTAAGTGATATCGGTGATAGCATTAGATGTTTGATCTCTGTACTTCATTATAGAAAAGGAATGTGAAGTATTCGTTCCTGAAGTTTTTGAATCCTGGATCTGATAGCAGGTAAATTAGCAGAAATGGAAAAAGAGTGCTTTCCTGGCTAGAACAAGAAGAATCTACCTGGAATTTTTCTTTCCAGTGATGTAACTTTCTGTGACTGTTCATAGATGTTATAGGATTTTGTCCATTACTGTTTTGAACGGAGTTATTGATACGGAGCCCTTAACTAGTTGTAAAATGTTTATTATTTCTTTTGTTTTGGAGTTTTTATTCAGTGAGTTTCAGTAAGTTCAGTGACCTAATAAAAGTGATGTCTATACCAGTGAGGTGATGAGAGCATTAAATGAATTAATGATTTGAAAGTCAAATTCACAATTGCAGTGAATTCCCATTTGCGTTTTCAGAGAGCTGTTCTTTAAGGTTATGTCGAAGGAATTGATTTAGTATAGGGTAGTTCCCCTTATTATTTTATTCTATTTCTAAATAAAATTATTCTATTTTTTTGTTTAACTCCAGCATCTGTTTAAAGGATTTGTAGAACAGTTTCACTGTAAATATGTTTGCTTTTTGTATCTCTTCCCCTTTAGGTATTTATATATAAACATTTATTAATGGCTGTTGTTGCATACTTACATGTCCATGCAAACTACTTAGGAGCAATTCAGTGATTTACAGCTTTCTTTGCATCTTAAGTGTGGTCATATTTAAATCTCTTTGTCTTACAAACTAGGTGAAATTGAGACGTTTTCTGAAGATCAGTATCTCGATCAGCAAAATAAAATATTGACATCCCTTGTGATTAACTGGCAAACTTTCTTAAATCTATTTACATTAAATGTTGTTAGTAAT